GGTAAATGTCCGACGTCTCGTTCAGCCGCGTGATGAAGCGGATCGTGTCCTTGGCCAGGTCAACGGCCGTCTGGCACTCGGCCGGATAGCGCACGATATGCGCCGCCGAGTGCAGGACGGGTCGGTGGATGAGCATGCGCAGCTGGTTGGCTCGCAGGTGCAGCAGTGCGCGCAGCCGGCGGATGCTGCGTGGTTCCGTGGCTGGGCTGTCATCCCCCAAACGCAACGACGCCGGGATGGCGGCCGCCCATTGCAACACCCGCCAGTCCAGATAGTTCATCTCGTCCTTTTTGATCTCGCCGGTGTTGTTGAAGGCGCAGATGAACTTCCACACCTTGGCCGCGATGCGACTGTACCGGATCATCACGCGCAGGTACGGGGTCTTTTCCTCGGGCTCGGGCAGCCAGGGGTCGATGTCGCTGTCCTCGAGAGAAAAGGGCATGCCCGTGCCAAAGCTCCAGCGCATGTCCAGCGTGTAGATGGACCAGAACATCCTCAGGACTCGATCCCGGCCGGCCGCCACCACCGTCGGATGGCTGAGCGTCTCGCGTCGGTGCAGGCCTTTTTCCAGACACATGCGCTCGACGATGCCGATCGTGCGCCACGCCAGCGCCTCTTCGTCCATTTGAAAGTAGAAAATCGCCTGACCCTTAGCACCCTCGCGTCATAGAACGGGAGGAAAACTCACCACCAAAGTCAAAAAGATAATCCGGTCGATCTCCGGCGCGCCCCAGACACAGTCGTCCGCCACATCGCGCACACTCTCAAACAGCCGCATGGCCAGCGCACTGCGCCCGCTCGCCTCCGCCGTCAGCGCACACGCGAACACCAGCCGCAGGATATGCACGTCGTAATCCCCAGACCGCAGGGGAAGTCGCGGAGACGGCCCATAGAGACCCTCCACCTGCCGCAGCAACTCCTCCAGCTCCAGCACAGGGTACATGATCCCCATCTCCTCCTCATAGACCCGACACAGCCGGATGGCCTCGGCCTTGCTGATCGTCCAGAGGGGGTCTTTTAGCATCCCGAGCGGGCTGCCGTCCCCAGGCGGCGTGTCATCCCCGTCATCCCCTTCCTCGCCGACCTCGTCCCCGTCCCCGTCGCCATCGACAATCCCCCGGCGCTGCAGACTACTCTTAGCCAAATCAAAACTAAAAGCCGAGGTCGTGGGACCCTGAAAGGTCAACTCCCTCGCTGACGAAGGTCGACGGAAGGCACGCTGCCCCTGGTCCTGCGGCGAGCCGCCGGGTCGCGAGAGCGCGTAGACCGCAGCCGAGAGCGCAGAGATCTGCTCCTGCATGGCAGTCATTTGCGCAATGAGACAAGACATATTCCTGCTTTGTCAGTGTGCATGTCGAATGACTGAATGAATGAATCACATACTGCTGGTCACTCGAGTCGGGTCGCGGCCTCTCCGCGTAGACGCATTCGATATGTTGCCGGCCGCAGCGTTGACAGGGTGATTGCCCGTTGCATTTGATCTTGCGTCGTTTGCATTCATTGCTGATCTGGTTAGTGAATTATTGTTGTCGTAGTTCCGGGGTAGGCTCACCATGCTTTGGTGATGTATTTCCGCCGTCGTTTCCGGGGACGGGAGTTTTCGTCCCGGGCATTTGGCCACGTATCTGGGACTGGAGGGCTTTGAGAATGGTCCATCGTCTTTGGACCAGTGGAGCAGGATGGGTAGAATAGGAATAATGAAGGTATTCAACTGTGAACTGCGTAGGAATGAATGCGGAGGGGAAACGCGGGGATTCCGTCCCGAGCGGAATTAGTGCCTCGGTGTTGGTGCCTGTGTGCCTGTGTGCCTGCGTGCCTGCGTGCCTGATGGTACTCTATCGACAGCACTTTGATCGATATTGAATATTGAGAAGGATTACCAGTTGATACGATTTATTGCGATGAAGGCCGTAATAATATCTCACATGCTAGACGCTTTTACACAACAAGACACTTCAAGTAAATATCTACTACAACTCCTTGGTCCGCTCATCACTCTCGGCAATCCATTGCTGCAGCTTCGACGCGTCCCGGGGCTTGAATCCCACCTTGAACGGCTTGGGCTCCGTGGTCAACGCGGTCGGAATGGCATTGCACTCGATCGCATCCAGGATCGGCCGGTCAGCAGGATCGCGCGCCGGATGCATCGTAAAGGCCGTGATCAGGCGGATGTAGGCCGTGTACAGCTCGCGGTTGGCCAGATGGGAGCCTGCGCACATGCGCGATCCAGCGCCGTAGCCGTAGTGGGGGGTGCCCGAGCCTTCGCTGACGTCGAGGTATCGCTCGGGAATGAACTTGTCGGGCATCTTGAAGTGGTCTTCGTCGTAGTCGGCGGCATATGCGTTCTACGCTGTCAGCATTTGGCGGAAGAAGGTTGAAGACTACTTACCATGAAAAAGGTCGTTCCAGCAGGGATGGTGGCGCCGTTGTAGACAATGTCCTTGGTGCTCTCGCGGGGCAGGCAGATGGGGATGACGGTCCAATATCTCAGGGTTTCCTTGACGAGAGCCGTGACGTACGGCACTTTCTCCTCGACCAGGCACTTTTCCCACGCGTCTCCGTTGGGATAGACCTTCATGATCTCGTCGTGGGCCTTTTGCTGGATGCGCTGGCCGTCCTCGGACGCCAGGTAGGCAATGCCCATGATCAGATTCCCCGGAACGGTATCCAGGCCGGCGGACACCATGGTCAAGCAGATGGATTTCACCTCAGCTGTAAGGCCAAAAGGTCAGTAAGGCAAGGCGTCGAACTGATAAGGCTACTTACCCTCGTTCAGCTTGGCTTCTGGATCTTTGAGAATGTTGCCGGTAATGCATGGCTTGTCGGTACCTTGGGCGATGCGTTCCTTGAGCATGTCCAGCAAGAACGTCAGGTACTTGTCGCGACGCACCCGGAATTCCTCAGCCTCTCGATTCGTCTTGGGGAGGATGCGCAGCAGCGGGATATAGTCTTGCCAGTTGTTGCTGGTGCTGCGGAAGTTGGACACGCCGCGCTCGACGTCGACGATCTCGCGCAGCAGCGCGTCGTCGACGTTGCCTTCAATGCGGAACCCATAGTTGAGGGTGAGACTGGTGTTGAGCGCAAACCGCTGGAAGTAGGCCGTCGGATTGATGTCCACTGCCCCGTTGCGGCAGTCCTTGAGCAGCTCCCTGATACTGGCCGTGGCTTCGAGGTCGATGATGGGCATGTACGACTGCACGGCGGGGCGATTCAGCGCAGTGGCCGCAGCCTTTCGGCGTCGCTTGCAGGACTCATCCCAGGGCGAGGTGCCAATCGTAAAACCCTGGGAGCTGGACACGACGCTGTGGAAGGTGTGGAAGGTGGGCCGCGAGATGAGGGCGGACTGGTCTTTGATCCACAGCTGTTTCACCGAATCGAAGCTGTTGGCAAATACGATGCGCTAGCAGTCGCGGTCAGCAAGAGACCCCGCTTCAGGTAAAAGGACGAAGTGCAGTGGACCAACCTTGTTCCCCATGCGCACTTGGAACACAGGCCCGTACTTCTTGGCCCATTTGGCGGCGACGGTGGCGTGTTGGTCGCCAAGCTGTAGCAGATTGCCAAATACAGGCACTCCGGGAATCTCAGGAAGGCCTTTGATCTTGGGGATGTCCGTGCGATTCAAGTAGCGGATGAGAAAGTACACCGCCGCGAGGACGGCAATGACAATGGTCTGCGCCATCAGATATCTCCTTTGGATGAGGTTTGTTACGGATATGGATATAGGTATAAGTGGTGATAATAAATGCAACGGATGCGACCGTTTTTATAGATGCCTGGTCGTGGATCTGTCACCCCTCTTTACCTCCGCAGTGGCATTCCGCGTAAGTTACTGTCATACCCCAACAGGGATCTGCATAGTTGTCCAGTCGCTGTAGTCCATCTGCATCTCCAGTGAATAATGGACGACGGGGATTGGTCAATCATCATCAACCGAGGACGCGACCAGACAGCGGGATTTCGGAATTTCTTCCGCTGCGGTTGTGTGCGGATATGGACATCAGATTCAAGTTTCCTACAGTATAGCATCTCTTACTTAGGTCTATAATAACTATAGATTTAGACTTCTCCTCAGAGGAGACTTAATCCTCAAAGTATTTACCTAAGCTCTTAAAGGATGCTATTATGGCTTCCGTCTCAACTTATATACTTGAGCCTTGAGGCTAATATTACCAATACTATATATTCCATAAATGCGGATCTGCTTGAGATATGTAACCACATACAGGATACTGTGCAACAACACATTGATGAGATAGAACGGAAGAGGTCCGAGAGAGTGCCCCCTATTGAAATCCAATGGGTCCACTGGCATCGCAGGAACGACGCAGCAGACAAGGCAGCTCCCAAGTTGAGCCTGGGCTTACAGGTTGCTGGGCATCCGTCCTTTTCCTTAGGATATTGACCCCCCGAGGTCACCAGGATTTATCTGCAGTTGAGAGCGTTCGACCCACAGCAAGGGCAATAACTGCTATCCCGAGAGCTTTGAAAGAGACCATTTCTATAAAAGGATTCAGTATAAGGACTACGTAGTTAGACGGGTATAGGGTAGTATCTACCGTATAAGAATGTAATCGAGTATCTTGGATTAACAATAGATGTCTGGTTGTTTGAATTAACAGAGACAACTCACAGATAAATAGAGGCTCTTTATACAGTTTTATATCATGCATAGCCATGTCGCTGGCCCTGGATAGTCTCGATATGAGAGACAATGTCTTGGTATCAGAAAGTTTCACCAGTCCCAATCCTGAAGGATCTGAGACCACGATCAGCTACCTCTGTTGGCTATGTAGATAGACACGTCTAATCATTTGACTGCACCCCTAGACTTAACTTAACCGATCGAACAACACACAGGTAACCTGCAAGGCGAGTGTATGTCTTGCCGTAGCATAGATGAACCGGACCAGCTAAAATCATATTCATCCCAACGCCAACGCCTCGCTAACCGACAGACAAGACAGAAAAGAAACAAATTGGCAACCAACTATCCATACTTCTTAATACCTTCTCCTCGTCTTACGTCCCCCAGGCAGCCAATGATGGAAATACACCTGTCCAGCAGACGCAGACGCAGACGCAGCCGTAGATATCGCCGCCCCCAACCCAGCTCTTGCTCTTCCCTCACTACTCCATGCCCGCCGTTTATATGCCCTTCGCAGGAAGCTATCATCCAGCTGTACTCGCCGATACACCACGGGCCGAGCGTGCTCATGCTCACGCTGTCTGACTGAGAGCATACCCTCCGACACCGGTACCGGCCCTGTGCATGACTCAGCTCATCATCTTGTAGCTAACTATAACAAAAGATAGGGTAAATACCTCGGTAACCCCCCCGTAGATGCGGATACACCCCGTTCCCATCCCTAGACGCATACGCATACCCACCGCGCGCGGGTGCACACATATCTGCAGAAGGAACAGGAGTCTCACGAGGCGCCGACGCAGCAGCTACCAGGAACGGGATATAGATGGCAGGGATGCCCCTCCTCAAGGCATCCGTCAGAACTGCATACTCGGCTTGCCGTCTGGCGAGTTTGGCTTTTTCGATGTCGGTTTGGGTTGATGCCGTATCGGGATTTGGGGCGTACATGGTAGTATTTCCTGGGTTTTGCTTGGTTTGAAGTTTGGCTGGTTGCGGGTTGCAAGTTGCAATTGCTGGGGGTTATACAGCTAAATACTCCGTACGTACTCCTCAGCACGGCAGAGACTTGACTTTCTTTCTTTCTTGCAGTCAAGGGTCCATGTGCCGCGTCATGCATAAATAGATTAACGTTACACTGGTTTTCTAGTAGACGGGAGGGTTGCATAGGCTAGGATCTACACTCAGATCAAGTGTGGCGGTGGGTGTTTCAGGTTGTTTCAACTAGAGCTGTTTATCTGCAGGACATGCCTGTCATACGGAGTACATAGCTAGCCAAATCAAGTATTCTGTGTGTCCTTGTGATCATCCGCTTCAGCATAAACCATAGAGTTACTCGTGCAGTGAATCATCTACTATACATTCATAGGCACACTGCTCCAACGAGTGTAGCCGGATCCCAAGTGCAAAAGAAATACAAATCCTACAATACATAGCCGATCGGCGGACATATATGCAATAAAGGCGAAAAATGCAAAGGGCTGGACTAGCGTGGCGCATGCTGTGGTGGCATTCCACCTGACCCTTGACTGTAACCCCGTTGATGTCCTGGAGTGTGGCCAGAGGAATGAGGCTCAGCCAGAGATCCAGGACCGGACGGCCGCGCCTGAAGAGGATGATGCATACCCGACGATGGACCGCTAGGACCGTAGCCGGCCGGGTTCGGCTGTAGAATCGCCGGCGGGGTATACGACCGGCCCATGGTTACGGATTGAGACGGCGGTCCTGGCAGCCCCGTCGCACGGGAAGTCTGCGCTTGCGGTTGGGGTGTATTGTGGCTATAGCCAGCACCACCCAAGCCCAGCGGACCGCGATGCGACTGCTGCTGATGAGCTCCGTTGACCATGGTCTGCACATGCTGCTGATATGTCTGGTGAGCCGACATATGACTCGGTGGGGCTGGGGCAGACACGTTGGACGCGGGCGGCCGAGACCCAAGGCCAAGCAGACTTGCTTGGGATTGAACGGGCGTCGGCGGGCCCTGTCGTGAGCCATACCCGATGGAGTTGTGGCGTGAAGGGGGAGATCCAACTGCGGGCCGGAAAATCTGATTCTGCGAGCCCAGATCGCGCGTGCCACTAGGTGCTGTCTGCGTGAGTGAGGACGGCGACTGTGTGTAAACAGATCCGGGATACGAGGGACGCTGAGTCGGAGCCGGGGACGGTGTAGGGGCCGGAGATGGCGCGGTGAGGTTGGGAAGAGAGGAAGCAGGATGGGATTGCCCAGAGGTATATGGAGAGTACGACGGATGCGCTGCCAAGGTTGTGGCCGGACGATTACCAGGCTGCGGGGGCTGAGGAGGGCCAGGCTGCTGCTGTTGCTGCTGCTGCTGTTGGCCTCTCGGGTCGAACCGAGCCATCCAGTCGTTGTTCGCCGGTGGGCCGGGGGATCCTCCAGGCACCGTGGAGTAGGCCTGATAGTCCGAGTAAGCACGCGACGGCGGCAGGTACTGACTGTGTGAGGGGTAAAGAGGCTTCTGCGCGGTAGCGGATGCCATGAACGCCTCGTCCTGACGCGACGGCGCCTGTTGAGGCAGAGAATGGGCCCCTGAGTAGATGGGACGAGACGGCGACGCCGGCTTGCCGGGCATGTTGGACGAGGCCTGGTCGCTGGCAAACCGCTTCCGAGGCTGTGGCTCCTCCGGCTCATCATTCAGAATGCTCATAATGTTAGACCGTTTAGCAGGCACCTGCCGTGGTGCCTCTGCGGGCTCCAGCGGAGTCGAACTGGGCCGTGGCGGTTCCTTGGGCGGGGACAGAATCGGCGGCTGCGACAGTCCAGCATGCTGGCCGGGCAGTGGGTAAAATGGCCGTTGGCTGGTGGAGTCGCGTCGAATGGGCGGTACCTCCGCCTCCTGCCGCTGCAAAAGCTGTGCAGGAGAACCGGGCGGTTTCGTAAGGCTGCTTTGGCGGGAGTGAGTGGCAGCTGTCATGAATGCATGCTGGGATTGCTGCTGTTGTTGTTGCATGTACGCCTGCTGCGACGGAGGAATCGAGCTCTGCGACGCAAGTAACGGCGACCCATGCATGTCTATACTTGCGGTCCGGAAACTTTGTGCGTGAAGTGGCTCCATCCGGGCCATTTCCGATACCGGTACAGGGGTCTGGCGTGCAGAGAGCGGTGTTTCTTGAGGTCGGACATTTGCATGTGCTACCAGGGTTGCCGGAGCCTCCCGTCTTTCCTCGGTAAAATAGCCTAGGCGTGGCCCCTGCAGACGCGGCGGAAGCCCCACCTGTGATCGAACCGCCCGAGATGGATCTTCACCAAGCATCGGCACTGTCGACATCGGTACGTTGCTGGCTTGTGCCAGGGGCGGGTACCTTGGGACAGTGCGCTCCTTCTCTGGAGGAGGTCGCGCATGCAAAGGCGCGAGCTGGGAGGGTGTGGCAGCATGCTTGGTCTTAGCGGTACGCGCCTCGTCCGACTCCGTCACGGTGTCAGTATGGGGTGCCAGCGGTCGCGGCATGATCGACGACGGTGTCGCTTCATAACGTCGCTTCGAAGCAAAGTTAGGCACGGGCAGAGGACCAGTTCGTTCACCACGAGCCTTTTTAGCCTCTGCATCGGCGACGATGTCTTCGAAATCTTTCTGCCCCGAGTCTATGCGCCTTTGGAAGTAATTTTTGACCTAGAACGAGTTAGTACCTTCATTGCCGATAGGCAGAAGGAAAGTAAAGCAATGGAAGATGACTTACCATAACAGTAGTCTTCGTCTTCATAAAATTCGAAATGCCCTCGAAGTCTCTGCCAAAGTGGGCCAGCAGCTGTGGAAAGTCACGCTGCTCGGGAACAGACCAGTAGCTAGTAGGCTGCAGCGATCCGTAGCCACCCTCGATGGGCCTGGCAGATCCCAAACTCTCTTGTTCCGCTGATTCGAAGACGTACATGCCTTCCCTCTGGCGACCTCTTCCGGCCTTCGCTCGCGGCGGTGCCTCGGTGATTTCTCTCTCGGTCGTTTCCTTGATTCGTACAGGTGCTTCAGTCACGCCAACCATGAATGTCTCAGGCGGCTCTGTTTTAGGCGCGGGAACAACAGGAGCGGTAACTGCTGGCCCTGGCAAGGTCTGCATAGGTTGCTCTGGCGGCCCTGGATGCGGTACCTTTGACACCTCGGTCGGAGGCTGGGGTAGGGGCAGGGTCTGCTGCTGCTGCTGTTGCTGCTGCTGTTGCTGCTGCTGTTGCTGCTGCTGTTGCTGTTGTTGTTGCTGTTGTTGTTGCTGTTGTTGTTGCTGTTGCTGTTGCTGTTGCTGCTGCTGAGCAGCTTTGCCTCGTCGATTGCCACGTGTACCTGTCCCAGTGCGACCACCTCGTCTGCTGGGTTTCTCTCCTGGCTCGCCGTCCTTGCCAGCACCGCGACGACCGTTAGTATCGGTATCAGCAGCCGAGGAGTCCCCAAAGGTAGGCGCAGCGGCACGGCGCGGACGGCCAGTGTCTGTGACAGGGGCTGGCTCTTCTTCGCCATCGTAATCGGGTTTGACGACACCGAGATCCTTCATGAGAGCGTTGGACTTTGGCCGAGCGGATCTTCGAGCACGACCGCGACGACTCCATCTCTTGTTCAACTTCGCCTTGTACTTGATTTCTTCCTTTGTCAGGTAATAATGAACGATACACTGCTGGAAATCCCGTCCGGGCAGCGACTCGGCGATCTTGCCCCACTTCTTGGGGTAAGCCATGAAGGCGTCGGTGAATATCTCGTGTTCCTCGGGTGTGAAGTCGTTGGGAGGAGGTAGGAAGCCAAAGACATCCATGGCGTTCGCAGGGTCGACAGAGTTGTTGGTATCCTTGTAAATCTGCGCCTTTGCCTCCCTTGGTTCGAGCATGTCTGGGATGACGGCTTCCCGGGCGAGGTCTGGCTGTGCCGTAGCCTTGTTTCCCCGACGGCGTTCCAGTTCTTCCTGCGCAGATATTTCGGACGCACGGAGCGCCATCTGAAAGTCGAGCTCGCTGTTACCTTTGTATCGTCTTCCCTCGGCGGTGGGAGGCGTTGGTGCAGCAGGGGGAGCCGGAGGCGTTGCAGGGGCAGGAGTGGTGGAGGCTCTAGCCTTCGCGCGATCAAGTTCCCAGACTTGCAGTCTCCAAGGCTTGTAGTACGACAAGTACTCCTCGCGAAGCTCCGCGTTCTTCCGTGCAATCTCCTTCCTCCGCTTAATCAATTCTTGACTGAACGCATCCTTCATACGAGCGTGTATCGCTGCATTTTCCTGGTAAATGTCAAGGTCCGATATTGGTGTAGGCGGACCAGACTGCAAGAATGGCAAGTCTTTGACAGAAATGTTATCCGCTGGGGGAAGTAGATCTAAAGCGAGCTTTGGTGACGTCTCGGGAGTTTCTAAGTCAGCGTCTTGCTTGACCACGACCGGTGCAGATTCCTCTACCTCATCTGCCGCCTTGGGAACTTCGACCGTAGGAAGTGGGGGGAGAGCCGCTTCGCCGGCAGGCTGCTCGCTGGCAAGAGCTCCTAAGAGCTGGATCTGCATTAAGAGTGAAATGATATGCGGATCTTCAAGGGGTGGAGGAGGCATTTCGGCGCGGAGTGCTTTCATGTCCTTTTCGAAGATCTGTTTCCGTTCCTCAAGGTACTCTTGCGTGAATACCACGTTCTCGTCCTCATCATCGTCGCTTGATCGGCCAAAGTCTGGTATCAACGCGTCTTCCTGTATGGCGGGTTTGTCTTCCCGGGTGACCTTCTTCTCAGACTCGACATCTGCTTCTGGCGCTCGTGGAAAAGGGACATGGCGAACTGCGTCAGATTTAGAAGGTTCAGGGGACATCTGCGCGTCGCGTTCAATCTCCTTGTCGGGCAAAATCTCGCCCGCCTCGAGTTCGGTACCATGGTCATCGGCTAGAGCTGGTGGTTCCCGTTTGGGCTCTTCGCTGATGGACAGACTTCGCTCTTTCCCATCGATGGAATCCCGCTTCAGCGGTGGTGCTGCACCAGCTCCGGCTGGGTGACGATTATAACCAGTGCGAGCCCACTGCGCTTTACCCTTTGGAGGTCCTCGAGTCGGCGTTGGTCGTTGCTGCAGGGCGCGAGGTCCTGTAGGAATGTGCACACCGGGTGACGTTGCACCCACCGAAGGGGTGCGAGCCTTGTTGAGTTCAGGAGAAGTGACCATACTACCTGTCCTGCTGGTCAAAGGCCCTTCTGTATGCGGGGTACTTATTTCCTTGCCAATCATTGCCGCAGGTGCAGTGGGTGGAGAGAGCTCTGGAGTCTGCTTCCGCGCGTGGAGAGAAGGGCTGGCGTGGGTTCTGGGTGCACGGGGGATAGAATTTTCCCTTTCGCTCGACTCCGGGCCTTCATCGCGGCGTACCTCCTCTCGTCGAAATCTTTGTTCTGATGGTGGTGGTTGGACGGAGGCGCGCTCTGCTTTCGGACCCGTGGGAGGCTGCACGGGCGCACGCGACGGAAGTTCAATGCGTTCCTTCTCTGCAACTGACGGTGCAAGCTCGGCCGGAGTTGTATCGACGGCCATTTTATCCGCAGACAGGTCAGGGATCGGCGCGGTGACTGAGCCAAAAGCTGGTACCTGAGGGGCCGCTGGAGGGGGAGACCGCTTGGTCGGTAGTAGTGAGGGTAGCTCTTTGACCGAGTCTGGGCGCGAAGCCGCCAAATCAGGCCGTATCGAGTCTCGACGGGCTTCGGCCATGGAAGGCTTACGGGGTGGTTCAACGATCGGATGGTCTGGTAATCGATCCGAGGCTGCAGGGACAGGGCCCAGGGACGCGAAGGGGTGGGGTCCGGAGATAGGACGTGCATCAGCTCGAGGTGGAAGTTGGTCTCTTTTCCATGCTTCTGCTGGTCTGTCCCGCTCATCGCGATCCGCCCGTCTGTCCAAATCGTCGCGACGCTCGAACCGATCCCGTCGGTCGATTATGTCCCGTTCTCTTTCGCGGTCGCGCCTGTCAATATCCCGTTCGCGATCCCGGTCAACGATTCGTTCCCGATCGCGCTCCCGGTCCAAGACTCGATCTCTGACTTCTCTTTCGCGGTCGCGGTCCCTGTCGCGTTCTCGGTCACGATCCCAGTCACGCCTGCCATCGCGCGAACGACTCCGCCGACGAAATGAGTCCCGATCATCGAGGTACGGAAGCCGACCGCGACCACGACCGACCTCCCAATCTCCCCGACCACGGCCACGCATGGGGCCACCACGGGGGAGATGATTCGGACCAAGGACCGGGCCATCCGGTGCATTCGACGAAACCGATACCAAGCTATCTCGCGAGCCACGCCGCATTCGAACAATATCCGGGTCGCGCCCGACTGGCTCTCTCATATCACGGAAGTCGCGCGGCGGAGGCGGCGGCGAACGGGAGCGACCACGACCAAAACCGATCCGTGAATCTCGAGGGTCGAAGTCTCGCTCGCGTCGAGGCCAGTCCCGGTCAATATCTCGACGAAAAGGCGGAGGTCCATCGCGAGGATCTCGAAAATCCCGGTCTCGCTCCCTGTCCCGATCCCGAGGGTCACGGTCGCGGTCGCGGAACTCAGCCCGACCAGGAAAGCCTCGACCGCGACCACCAAAGGGAGCTCCCCGGGAATGATCGATCAGGGCCTTGGGGCCGCGCGGCGGCTCTCTGCCCAATGGAGCCAAGTTCGCATCGTCGGAACCACGAGGGCCAGCGGGAGGGCGACGGTCACCAAAACGCTGGGGAGAACGGTCACGGGAATTGAACCCAGATGATGGAGGATATCGCGAAGACATCACCAGGTCATAACTAAAGAGTTTGAAAGAAGGTAACCTGGCAGGCAGCCTGCAGCAGGTTAGGTGTGAGGTTGTACAAAAGCCTGTTTCAGACTTTCAGTGATTCAAAGGGAGGCGAGAACAAGCCGAAATTGAAAACGACCCAATAATGACCAACCGTGAGGCCTCAGGCCGCGGAACAGGTGTGGGGAGGCACGTGATCGTGAAGAGCGTGCACACAGCACGGACCACCTTGAATTGTTTACGTAAACGTGCACCAGGCCGAATCGGGGCTGATCCCAGAAAAGGAGCAATCAACAAATGTCCCACGATCGAGTGCTTAGCGGCAGCCACTGGAAGGGGGGGCGTGCAATTAAATGTTTCAGATGTCTGGGAGAGCGATCGAGGCGTGGATCGGTCTCAACTCTCAAGGGCGTCAAGGGATGTCAAGAAGTGTTCTCGAGTCACAATTCACGAAATCTGTTCTAACCACGAACTAAGTCAGTCAACGGTACCTTGCAAGCACTGTATGTACGTCTGTAGCAAATTCAATATGCAGGACGATAATCCCAGAGCGAATATCTGCCTGGACTCCGTCCCTTCAAACTCAGCTCTCCCCACGGTGTGACCTCGACTCTACTTGGTCGAAGCACTCATCGACAACCTTGGGATTTGGAAATGACAAACAAAACACCGAATCGCGGAGAAGAATAGTTAAACAATAGCAAATGATAAGAGTAATAATGACAATAACAGGCGCCGTACCTTTAAACGTTTCCAGCAACCAGAATAGCGTTAGACAGCTGCAAGGAGTTGATCAAGACAAGAGAGACCACCGTTGCAGGTGAAATAAGGTAATTCTTCACTTGAGCTTGCTGAGCAGGAAAAATGGAGATGCAACATGCATTAGATCGCAACGCAAAACAGGCAAAGGACAAGATCGAGACAGAAGGAGAAATTCGCAGGAGGAAAATCACCAGAAATGGGAACCATGGGGCAGCAAGATGCTCTCTGCCTTCAGCCTTGGACCTGGATCTGGTAATAATCGGTCCTGGTGCCTGAGGCCAGACCAGCCCACCCGTCTGCAATGTGCCTCAGGCACCTCTAAATGTGAGGAATTGATCACATGTAAATTTGCGCTAGCCCGTAAACGGCTAGACTATTCATGACAGAGTTTCCTGAGGCATCCAAGCGCAGCCTAGTTTTGGTGCCTGAAACAAGAGGATTGTTCCCCGCCATCCATTCTAAAAACAAAAAGGAAAAAAAAAGTCTCCAGATCGGAATTTCCCCCGCTAGAGCTCAGATTCTAGCAACAACTCTGCATAACTTTTCTATCTTCTCTTCAAACATGACGAACAATCACTCCGGGCCAGCAGAGGCTTTGCCTCCGTCATCTGCCACGAACGCCGTTCTCGTCGCCTCTGAGCCCGTCCCGGAGGGGTCACACGAGGTCCGTGGCGTCGACTTTGATCGTTTCCAAGGGCGAGATATTACTGCTGCGGAAATGGTTGACAACATGGTGCACATGGGGTTTCAAGGAAGTGCTGTCGCAGAGGCTACACGTATCATCAATGACATGGTAAGATGAATTACTTCCGTTGCTAGGATATCTTCCTACGAGCGCGTGCTGATGTGAACAGCGAGCATATCGGCATCCTGAAACAGGAGAGAAAACCACCATATTCCTCGGATATACCTCTAACCTCATCTCTTCCGGTTTACGCGACACCATCCGTTATCTCGTCCGGCATCGCCATGTCTCCGCCATCGTTACCACAGCTGGAGGAGTCGAAGAGGATCTGATCAAGTGCCTGGCTCCCACATACATGGGTAGCTTCTCGACACCAGGTGCCGGGCTGCGGGCCAAAGGACTCAACCGGATAGGGAACCTCGTCGTTCCGAATAGCAATTACTGCGCGTTTGAGGACTGGCTGATTCCCATTCTCGATAAGATGCTAGAGGAGCAGGAAGAGGCGAAGCAAAAGGCCCTCAAGACCGGGGATGAGGAGGATGAGCTACACTGGACGCCTAGCCGCGTTATTGAACGCCTGGGTCGTGAGATTGACAATGAGGACTCCGTACTCTACTGGGCAGCACGTAACAACATCCCGATTTTTTGCCCGGCACTCACAGATGGTTCGCTTGGAGACATGCTGTACTTCCACACCTATCGATCGTCCCCGCAGCGGTTGCGTGTGGATATTGTCGACGATGTACGCCGTATCAACACGATGGCCGTGCGGGCAGCCCGTGCAGGAATGATCATTCTCGGAGGTGGTGTGATTAAACACCACATTGCTAATGCATGCTTGATGCGTAATGGCGCTGAACATGCAGTTTACATCAACACCGCTCAGGAATTTGATGGCAGCGACGCCGGTGCCCGGCCGGACGAGGCTGTCAGCTGGGGCAAAATTAAGGCTGATGCAAAGGCGGTTAAGGTGTATGCGGAAGCAACGGTGGTCTTCCCGATGATAGTCGCCGCCTCTTTTGCCCGGTCAAGCCCAACTCCAGCGGCTGGAGACTCGCACAACAACAATTGAGGAGACAATGACACACGAGGATGAGATCCAGCGTGGCAGTGGTCCAATATCACCGCTCATCTGATCTTCATTAAACTGAATAATGCTTGGCGGGTGACTTACCAGTTCCCCTGGGCATTTTTCCGCCGCTCCTGGAACTTGTCTCTCCTGTTTCAACTCAAGGACCCTGCCTGGGTCGACCAGAGTTCCCCCAATAGGACATTTCGACAGAAGAGGACCCCACCAGATGAAGAAATATCCGTCCACCCACGGCCTTCTAGAAAACTTTGGCGGTGGCGAACTGTCCTTTTTTTTTGTCCCTAGGGTAGTCGAGCGGCATCGGCATGGAGAAAAGAGGGACATCAGTACCGACTATCGACTACCGACCCAGAACATCGGATTTAAATTTTTTGAGGCGAAGTTGTGAGAAACTTGAGTCTGGTGGACGAATCATAAAAGATTGAAAGTTAAAAGGCCAATGGGCTGTCCCACAGAATGATCGCCGGGCCCCGTTTGGACCATTCCAGGCGCTGGAGTTGATTGCTCCAATTCATTTGCCACACAGTCCGGAAGGGCGGGAGAAGACAGACAGAGCCAAGGGATAAGCGGAAGGGTAAAAGCAAAGCAAAGAGTAGGGGAAAAGTCTATCCCTACTGTACCGAGGAAGGCTGAGACGGTTCCTGATGAGAAGAACAACGAGTAGGGTAGACATAGAGATAGAGGTAGACAGAGGCTAGGCTATCACCAACACATTAGGCAGTAATGGCCCTTTCCATTCATTTCATTATAATTAGTTTCATTATTGATCAATAAAGGACGACCAAGTCAGAGGCTGATCCGCATTTTTGCATCCTTAATGGTCAATGGTCGGGGCTGTCTCCATCATTTGGCGGTGAGGGGACAGCACGCGCTCTGCATTGCCGCCTCATTTTCGACAGGGAGCAGCTTCATGGGGTAAGGTATGGACATGGTATCCGTATACGGAGCTTTTGTGGTGCTGCTGCCTCTCGGTTCGCCTTTTCTTTTTCTTTTTCCTCTTTTCGGTCCTTTTTCTTTTTTTATTACCCTTCTCTACCTCCTTTTATCCTCTTTCTTTTATCTTCGTCTTCCTCCTCTCTCTCTCTTACCCCAACAACCCACTGATTGCCCTGATAAGCCCCCACCGTCTTATCGGGAAATCATCTGCCTATCTCTCCCCCAGGTCTCTCTCTTCTTTGTGTTTGACCTGTCCTTCTTTCTTCTTTCTCGTCGTCTTTTTCCTTGTCTTTCATTCTCTCTGCTTCATATATCATCGTCCACTTATCAGCTACCTGTGCCTTGTATGCGTCGTTCCTACATATAAGCCTCTGACCTGCTAGACGCAGTACTTCAGTGCCTTATCGTCTTTATATACTATATTCTGTCGATCTTTTGTCTCAATCATAGCCTCTGCGTACATACGACTCTCACCCTCTTCCGCGATGGATACTCGAATGGATACCGCGGTTACGGTGGAGCAGCTCCCCCCTGCCGTCACACTGAGCGTCGATGCTCCCTCGTCAGAAACAGTCACTGCTGGCACAGAGCTCCCGGACCCTACCAGCGGAAACAACATTGCAGGGATCCTTGCGAATACACCTCTAGAGAATGTCGATCCACAGTCACAGGAATCATCTGAGCCGACTCCTGCACCCCAACCTCCGCAACCCGAGCTCGAACATGCATACTGGGCCGAGATTGAGGAGGACACGTCGGTACCTGATGAGGCGGAGATGAAGGAAATCGAGTCGACCGCGGATGGGGACTATAGTGCATACGAGTGTAGGTCTTCCTGCGTATTTCTGTGCTTCAAAAAGGGACGAAAGGCGAGTTCCGGATGCTGACCATCGCAGACGAGTACTGGGAAAAGAACTTTCACCCCGATCTCGACGATCCAGAGTATCGGCCTGTTGAAAAAGGCCGCCTGACATGGAAGATCAAGGGCGTCCGAGGGACCAAAGACGCACCCAACCGTAGCAAGATCATGCGTTCCCCTCCTGCTTTCATCGGCGGTTACTGGTGGACGCTCAAGTTTTTCCCGCGTGGTAACAACGTGGGTTCCCTGAGCATCTACATCGAATGCTCCCGGACCTTGCCTCAGCCCGACAAGACATTACCAGAGGCCGAGTTTAAAGTGTTGCGGGGACCGGCCGATTCGGTGCTCAACGACGCCGCTCCTGAAGTGGACATGAAGTTTGCCCGAACCGAAGACTCGGCAAGCTGGCTGGAGAATTTCACGGCACAGTATCCCGCTGCTGCGGTCAGCAAGCAAGATTCTCCAAACGAGACCTGGAGAGTATCGGCACAGATTGGTGTCATTTTGTATAACCCGGACGAGCCTCGTACGGGTTGGATGCAGTCGTCGTGCCACCAATTCAACCCGCACAACCTTGACTGGGGCTGGACTAATTTCCACGGCCCGTGGGACCAGATCCACCGCCGCCAGCGGGGCCAGCGCCAGGCGCTACTCCGCAATGACACGCTGGCGTTTGATGCATACATCCGCATTATTGACGACCCAACCCGGTCTCTGTGGTGGCATGCTAGCGATTCTGAACCGACTTGGGACAGTCTGGGCTTGACTGGCTACCGGCCTCTGGGTGATTCTGTCATCAATCACAGTGCCGAGGTTGCGGGGCTGGCCTCGTGGCTGCATCTAGCACCTCTGTGCAAGATAATCCAGAATGCCAAGGTCTTGGACCATCTCACAGACTGTGATATCAAGCCCAAGCCGGTCTGCGATGCGTTGCAGAAGTTCCTCTGGCGTCTTCGCTCTCGTGGCCAGTCCCTGCAATATGTCGATACCGACATTATCACTTCCATTCTGCGCAATCTGCATGAATACTCGGGCGATGTCTGTGAATTCTGGGAGCGCCTGCGTCGGACCATCGAGTTTGAACTGTCGGACACCGATGCTCCGAAGGAGCTGGCCAAGATCTTTGACAGCCCCTCGCCCGACTCCCTTGCCATTTCCGGGGTGGATGCGGTAAACACCATTCCAACGGATTTCAACTCCCGCATTTGTGTGCCTGCCGAACAGGCCAAAACGATGCGCGAGGCGCTGGGCTGGTACTTGACGCAGAAAACCGGCCGTTGGGTGTTGCCGCCTGTTCTCCACGTTGAGCTGAACCGCCATAAATTGGACAAGGCGGCGCGCCAGTGGCGCCTGGTCTACAACAAGGTTGACCTTGATGAGGACTTGGATCTGACTCCATACCTGGTTGACGGCCAGTGTGGAAACTACGTCCTCTATGGCTACATCGTTCACCGCGGACGGCGCACGTCGGGCAAATTCTTCAGCATTCTTCGCCCTGGTGGGCCCGGAACCAGATGGCTTGCATTCGATGACGGCAGCGATAATCGTGTTGAATGCCTCACACGCAAGACAGCCTTGGGGCCGCATCTTGGCCTGGACGAGTCTCAGAAAGTAGACCACAAGACTGGTCATGATGTGGCGATTGCCGTCATGTATATCCGAAGCGACGTTGTCTCGGAGTTCCTCCCTGGCCCTCAGGGTCCGTGGGATGTCTCTCCGTCGCTTAAGGAATACTATGAGACCGACGTCTACCCTTCCTCCTCCACGTCCGATGGAAAGGCCGCAGAGAAGGAAATCCAAGTGGAGGTCTATGCTCCGCCCCAGTATGACCAGTTGCCTAGTCTGTTTGACTCCTACGATTTGATGTCCCAGGCCAAGGCGGCCAACAGAGTGATGTATATGACTGTTCCCCGCTCCGAGAATATTGTCGAGTTGCGCAAGAAGATCGCTCTTTGGGCCTCTGCGGGCAGCGAGACGCAGGCCAGTCCCGAGAATATTCGTCTCTGGCAGATTGGACATACTCGTGATCGATTCGGACCAACACTTGCGTTCGAGCGGATCTCGGATCTGAAATCGACCCTTGATCTGCCTGTTCCAGTTGCTCGGTTGTGGATGCAGATTGTTTCTGATGGTAAGTCAATCTATTTGGATAGACAGTTGCGGGACACGACTAATGCAGAGTCCATAGACGAAGCAAAGTACTTCGCCATGAAAGATCCCCGCGACATTGTAGTCACTGAGCGCAAGGCTGAAGAGGCGGTAGTCGAACGCGCTGGTTCTGAATCTTCGGACGACAGACAATCTATTCCCGAGGTCCGAAGTGGAGGGGCTGAGGCCAGCTCATCTGGAAACGTGACCGAAAGCGATCTCAGCAACGGTGATAGGGTGTCGGCTGAGCAACCCCTGCCACGGACGACTGATCCCGAAGTCACGGAGAGCTCTGGTCCAGAGACTTCCAACTCCCCTGCTGAGATTCAGCCCAGCAATGCGGGTGCTGAAAATGATGCGGCCATAGCAGCCATTATCGCACAGGATGTCCAGCAAATGGACATCGAGTTGGTTGAGGAGGTTCAAGAATCACCTTCTCCGGCTGAGCAGACTTCCAATGACCCTACTCAAAGCGAAGCAGCACAGCAGCGAGCTACTTCTCCGGCCCCTGACGCTGTGTCTACCGCTTCGGAAGAGCCCGAAGTCCCACTGCCCGTCGAGCACGTTTATTACTTCATTCAAATTTTCGACGTCGAGGCACAAGCATTGCGCACGGTGGGCTCCTTCTTCTCCCGGAAGGAGGAGAAAGTCAAGGCCGCTCTGCGGAAGCACTTGAAGTGGCCGATGATGAAGGATTTCTCGATCTGGCAGCGGGTCGATGGCACCACTGTGACAACCATGTCCAGCGTGGGAACATTCGACACCTATGTGCCAGATGGGACATGTTTCATCGTCGGTGACAAATTAAGCAAGGAGAGGTAGGTGTTCCTTGTACTCGACCCGTTATAGAGATCCAATTCTAATCCTCACCTTTCTATAGGCGCACGGAACTCAGCGTTGCAGGTCTATTCTCCAGTCCCGATCGGCTGGTCCACTACCTCTTCGCAGCGGAACGCAATCACCCAACTCGTGCCTTCACCGGCACCAAGACCGTCGATGCCTCCTTCAGCAGCGAGTACTACAGCGGCGAGTTCCTGAAGGGCTACTACCACGGCAAAGGCAAGCACATCTCCGACTCGGCCGCTACCTACGCCGGCGATTTTGTTTTCGGCAAGCGCCATGGCACCGGTGCCATGGAGTACCCCACCGGGGATACCTACGACGGAGACTGGTACGAGGACCAGTGCCACGGCCAGGGCACCTTCGTCGAGAAGAAGACAGGCAACAAATATGTCGGCGGCTACAAGGACGGCAAACGACACGGCAAGGGCATCAGCTACTGGGAAGTCGCTGACGAAGAGATGGATCTGTGCCAGATCTGCTACAGTGAGGAGCAGGATGCCCTGTTCTACGACTGTGGTCATGTCTGTGCCTGTGTGACTTGTGCCCGCCAGGTCGACATCTGCCCTATCTGTCGGAAGAACATCATCAGTGTGGTCAAGATCTATAGAACGTAAGCGGAGCTGCCCTTACGACGATGGAAACGTGATGTTGGGCGTTGAGGCCGAGCGCGTTGATGGAGTTGATACACATACACATACATATTTCTTTTCTATTGAGACTGCAGCATACCCGGGTGTTACGGAGAAAGAATTTTGGATTTGGGGCCTTTGGAGTTACTTGATGTTCAGACCTGCTTATACGGTTTCTTTTCCATGAATATATTACGTTTATACCTATGAAAACAAGTAAACTACATGTCACAAGATTGCCATCAACTGATCACAAATGGTATCATTATATTCTACCACCAGCTATCTACGTCAAAACACGATGTATCAATCAACAATGATGCGCCGTCCGTACCTAAACATGAGAAGCTGCTTTTGGAATGATCAACGAAAGAAAAGAAAAGACAATGATGCTACAGTCCAGTTCAGTCCGACTATTTGCCAGCTTTCTTGCCCGGACTACTGCTCGCTGTCTTCTTCTTGTTCTTCTTGCTGCCCTTGGAGTCAGAGTCCGTCTTGCTCTTGTCAGCCTTCTTGTCCGCCTTCTTGTCAGACTTTTTTGCGGCCTTCTCGTCCCCCTTCTCAGCGGTAGACTCTTTCTTGCTCTCCTCCTGTTTTGTGGCATCCGCTTTCTCAGATGAAGATTTCTTGGGCTTGTTCAGTACAGCCTTGGGGTCGAGACCCTTCCGGCGCAGGCGGTTGCGCTCCGCGCGAGCAATGCGCTCCTGATCCTCGTCTTCGTCGAAGGGGCCGAAGGCGCCGCCCTCAATGTCGAGGGTCGTGCCGTCCTCGTTCAGGATGGGTGTCTTGTCGACCACTTCGTCGTCGGCCTTCTTGGCAGGTTTATCGGCTGCTGTGGCGGGAGCACCGTCGGCGGAGGCGTTGGGCGTCGGGGTGGGGCCGGTCTTCTTAAGTTTGCAGACGAAGAAACCGTCGACGTTCTCGCGGTGCGGGAAGTAGCGGCGGGTGAGGGTCATCTTGGGGTCGAACTTCTTGCCCATGTAGCTGGTGAAACCGGGAGAGCCGAAGTCGCCGAGCCCGGTGTCGACGAGCTTGACGTTGGGGCGTTTGCGGAGGACGTACTGCACGACTGCTTCATTTTCTTCGACGGTGACGGAGCAGGTGGAGTAGACGATGTAGCCGCCTGTTTTCGAGGCGTGGTCGACGGAGTCGATGGCAGCGAGGAGGAGGTTGCGTTGCATGTGGGGGATGGCGAGGAAGTCGCGTTCGTTCTTGGAGGTCTTGACGCTGGGGTCCTTGGCGATGACGCCTGTGCCGGTGCAAGGGGCATCGAGGAGGACGCGGTCGAAGCCGCCGAGGGCCTTGGGGAAGGCGGTCCGGGCGTCCAGGTTCGTGACGATGGTGTTCTTGCAGCCGAGACGGTGGATGTTACCGATCAGACCCTTGGCACGGGGCTTGCTGGCATCGTTGGCGATGACGCAGCCGGTGTTGCGCATCAGGGCCGAGATGTACGTCGTCTTACCACCGGGGGCGGCGGCCATATCGAGAACCCGTTCGTTGGGTTGTGGGGCCAGCGCCATCACGGGGAGGAAAGATGAGGCGGCCTGCAGGATGTAGTGGCCGGCCAGGTACTCGGGGGTGGCACCAAGAGGCACCGCGGACTCGAAGACTTGCAGACCGACCTTGGACCACTTACCGACGGGTTCAAGGACCACGCCTCGGTTGATGAGGGCTTGTGCCAGAGATCGTCTATTGGTACGCAGCGTGTTTGTACGGATGACGACAGGACGAGGAGTTTCGTTAGCTTCGAAGAAGGCGAACGCCTCCATAGGGGTGAAAAGGTTGAACAGCTTCTCCGCGAGGAATGGGGTGTAGCCGTAATACGTGCAGATGTCGTCCAGGAGCAGTTGCAGGTAATCGGCGCGGGATTTGCCCGGTTGTCCGAGCGACTTCAGATCGCCCAAAATTCGAATAGTGTCTGTGATTCTCGTGCGGAGCAATTGGAGGTCAGGGGCCAGACCAGGCTTGCCCTCGGCATCAGCAAAGACATCCGGGCGGTCACCTGCGATGTTGGTCTGCATAGCAGCCTCCTGTAACTCGCGCTCCGCCTCCTCCTCTTCCGCCTGTCTGGCTTCATCCAATTTCCGGGACAGTCCCTCGATGTTGGCGGCTGTGAGCTTCTCCTCTGCGTCGGACAGATCCTCGTCGTCGGAGAACATGGCCTCCCGTGGGTGGTCTTCTTCCTCCGAATCCATGACCGAGTCCTCGTCCTCTTCCTCCTCATCAGAATCTATCTCTTCCTGACTATCCATAGATCCGTCACTGACGCCATCTAAGTCATCAAATTCATCCTCAACCATCTCATCGTCATCGAGATCCGACATATCTTCGTCGTCCGAGTCCATAAATGTAGGCTTCTCCTGCTTCGCGGGTTTGTTCTTGCTCTTCACATCCTTCTTGCTGACAACGGCAGTCTCAGCCTTAATTTCCTTTCCTTTGGCCGCTCCATTAACCTTCTTCTTAGGAACAGCCTTCAGAACCTCTTCTTCATCTTCGGCTCTCCTCCGCTTCTTGCCCGACTCCGACTTGGATTCGACATCTCCTGCCTTGCGCTTCTTGTACAGGGTAATTTTCGACTCATCCAGCGGGGCCGGAGGGCCCTGCTTCTTCATACGGCGACCCTTTCCCATTGCGACAAACTGTGTGGTGCAGGGTAGAAATTGTGGTTTTGCTAATATGTCGCTATCATGGAAAGCCAAACTTTTTTTTCTCTTGCTTCTTCTTTTTTCAGGCGGTCAACGCAGGCAGATCCTTTCTGGAAGGCGGTCTAGGGTTTGTTACTGGCCTGAGGCATGAATATCTGACCGTGGGGTTCTGGCCTCACAAGCTCCCGATTGGGTAATGAGCACAATTGATCGATCGACTGTGACGACAGCCCTCCCATCTCACCTCCTTTGACCCCTACCAGAGGAAACAACACCCCCTCAATCTCACTCACTTCCGGGACCACGGCATCTTCACCATGAACGAAGTATCATTCGTCAAGACGTTCCTCTCCGCTCTCGACTCTCGACCCATCAAGCTCCGCTCCGACCATGTCTTCGACCCAGAGCAAGTCGGACTGCGTGTCCCTGTACGTCCGCCTCACATCCCATAAATCTCAGCTATATGCTAGGGGTCATGTACTAACCAGCACAGTATACCCTCCCCCGCCTGCACGCACCCCACCCGGAAATGCCCAAGAAGACCAAACAACCCGTCGCCCCGGGCTCCTCAAAATCCATAACAGTGCACCTCAAATCCGCCCGCAACCCGGCCCTCGAATTCTCTCTCCCCAATACCGCCCTCGCCACGACCTCCGTGCAGGATCTCAAGGACGCTGTCCGCGAGCGTGTGACAGACGCCCAGGGCGACAAGATCTCCCTCGACAAAATCAAGATCCTGTACAAGCGCAAACCGGTGACGGGGAAGACCATCGCGGAGGTGCTTGCCGATGAGCCGGAGATGCTATCTGGCGGGAAGGAGGTCGAGTTCGGCGTTATGATCATGGGCGGGGCGCAGGTTACTCCGAGTGCGGGTGCGGGTGAAGGGGCAGCTGCTGAGCAGACGGAGAATTATGAGCCTCCCAAGCCTGCTGTTGGGCCTAGTGGGGAGAGTGTTGTGGCGACGGAGGCTTTCTGGGATGATTTACAGGGCTTCTTGGAGCAGAGATTGAAGGACTACAATGAGGCGCAGAAGTTGAGGGTGCTTTTCAAGGAAGCTTGGAGGTCGAGTCTCTAGGAATTTTCGGTGTTGCTGTAGATAGCCTTTTAAATGATACCTTTCACTGATCTGTTCTGTGCTTTCCCGAAGTGCGATTGGCTCCGGATTGAGATTAGATGCGTGACGACGCTGTGGATGAATGTATACTATAAACGTTGGCTTGTAGTCTATACGCTGCATGGTGCACAAGGTCAATACAATATCAAGTCTATTCAATTTGCTAGAATTTGACACCAGATTCAAGGTACAGAAGCTGGGGAAGTGGTATAGGAACTAATTGTTATACATAACATATACGCATAGAAGCCAAACGAAAGGCATCCTTGAGCATGCCTTTCAAGGAGACGGGAGAATTCGAAATTGCGAAATGGATACAGGACATGAATATTCCCAAAATCCATCTCACACGGTATCTCGAGGCCCAGTAGCCAAACATCAAGTAGGGAGAAAATGGAGGCGAGCAGGAATCGGAGCCCAGCTGCAAGCTGTCCGGCTTTGAATGTCGTGACAATTTAAGACCATCAATAACAAATCGTCAAAGCTTCCACATGAAGAGAGGGAAAAGGCGAACAGCCGCAACCAGGAGACGGAGCCAAAAATGGTCATTCGAAAGGAAAGCTCGTGCATGCAAGTATGATGGCGGAAGAACGAAAATGCCAAGGGAGCTATAATCACAAGACTAGAAAGGAACAAATGCCAGGCAATTTGACACCATTGCAAATGCTCAAGAACTGAACAAGCGCTCGTTCAGGAAGAGTAGCCTAACGTATTGTCGGCGGACAACATCAGACTTCATGCATAGACAAGCAGAATCCGGTTATCTCGAGAAGACTTTGACAACCCCATCTCCTCCACCACTGACGACCCAGCGGCCGTCGCGGCTCCAGGTGACGGCACACACACCCTCACCACGCATCAACCGGTGACTTGTAATCTCTTGGGTGCAGCTGCGTTTCTCAAGGTTCCAGAACCGTAAGCTGGCATCATGCCCCGCGGACACTAGCTCACGTCCATCAGGAGATAAGGAAAGTGCAGCAATAGCCGCGGGATGGGCCAGCATCGTGTATGTGCATTGACCTATAACAGGGCAAGAAAATGTCAGTGCTTCCATTCAAACAGTCATGAATAGCAGAGTACGTACCGCTATTGGCGTCGAAGAGACGGATATATCTGTCTTCGTATCCACTTATGATTACCCCCTCCACGGCACTGGAGCCGGTAGCTCCGTGCACGACTTCTTCATCAGCCAACGTCCGACTAGGATCAAGGCCAGCAGACCCGTCAAAGCCAATCGTGGTTGCCACGACAGAGTTGACTCCCGTCGAGGGAGTGCCATCGTAGGTTTCCAAGCTCGCCATGCCCACAATCTCCTCGCCGGTTCTCGTGTCATATACAAGGATCGAAGCATCCGTGTATGAGACAACGAAATTGACACCTGCAAGAGACAGTGGGCTGATACAAGTTGGTGAGGGTGAGTCGGCCCGAAGGATATGATGGACGAGAGTATAGTGAAAAGGCGTCGTGGTTGCGGTGCTAGGCTGAGGCGAAGAAGGGAAATTAGACCCAGACGATATCGAGTTAGCCCGCCGACTTCCACCAGCTCGCCTAGAGCCGGCTTGTGGTGATGATAGCTGGGGAGGTGCACTGACGGCCCAGATCAATATCCGCCCATCGGCAGCGCCCGACGCCAGCAAGATTCGATCTGATCCTCCGTAGTGACTGGATGAATCGCCAAAAACAGTACCAGCCGTGCCAGGAAGCACGCAAAGGCCCCACACAGCATCGGTGTGACCGTCAAGTGTGGCCTTGGGATCAACCCGTCCACGTTCCCAAACACGCACGCTGGCATCCTGTCCACCAGAGAATACCCATCCATCACCCAGGGCACGGCCACCATTTGAGAAATTTTGGGACGGGGAACACGCAGCCAGTGCGGTTACTGCTCCAACATGGCCCCGATGGGTGAAGTAACTCGTTATATCCAGATCGTTGCCTGAGTTCCCTCCGTGCGACCCATAGGCCCCATACGATGCTGGTATGATCCATCTTTTGATCGTCCCATCATCACTGCACGTGCAAATCTCGGGTTCGGAGGGGCTACCACCGCCCGTGAAGATTACTGAGCGAATGACATCCAAGTGGCCGCGGAGAGCGAATCGAACTTTGAAAATAGGATCCTGTTTCAGCATTGATCCCGCGCCGACGTCAATGGCACCTTCGCTCTTACGTTTGGAGCCAGAGCTCTTCCTTCGATGCGATACTGATCCACCCCGTGAGGGAGACTTTGGCCCGGCGAAGTTCGCGTTGGGAAAGGCATCCACGTCTGGTCGGTGTGGTGGGATTTGGACAGTCCGGGACTCCTGAGCCGGGGTTTCATCAAAGTTCCACCCGTCTGTATCTTGTAATTGATCTTCCGCCTGCTGGGATTGAGCCTCCTCCTCAGCCACTGTCTGTGTGTTATCGTACTGCTGCTTTGCAGGACCAGCGCGCTCATCCGATAAGCCTGACTCAAACGCCTGCTTTCTGCTGTCAATAGCGGTAGCGGGGGTCTGCTGTGCCTCCAGCGATTTTTTGTCCATGAGATCTCGCGCCGCAAGGGGGAGGAATTGATTGGGAGCGCGAGACAAGTTGGAATTGTCAGAATAATGAGTCACGATGGGCTGGTGATTTTGTAGTGCTACCTCGCGTGCCATCATGTGATTTGCCTGCTGTTGTTGTTGCTGCTGCTGCTGCTTTTGGCGCTGCTGCTGAATGTAGGCTTCCTCTATACTCTGCTGAGGCATGTTGTGGTTCGCGTACATATGGTTCGAGAGTTCCATGTCGTTTAGATCGGGAGCAGGATGCGACGTAGGGATAACATGAAATGCAATTTCTTGCGAGCATTTTGACAGGTACAGACGCGACTTCTCCCGTTCGTTCTCCTGTCGGACGCCAGGTTGGTTGTCGGTGTCAATATCGGTGGTGGGATCGGCCTGGGATTTGGACCGTTGCGCTGCAGACAAGTCAGCATTTCACCAGTACCGTAGACTTTGCGAGTTAGTATCGTACATTTCAATGCATTGATGCTCTCCCGGGCAATCTCCTTGGAGTCCCTTGTATCCTCGATCGGTTCATTGTTGCTCAGCTTCTTCACCTTCTCACGTTCTTTCTTCAGAGCAGTCTCGAGCAGCCTCACATGCTTGCCCAATGACTCGTGCAGCCGCTTGCTCGTTCGTACATCGCCTTCTAACCTGCCGATCCGGGACCGCATCTCCGCGCGCTCTATCTCCCAGGCATTGCGATCTCGCTCGTGCCGATGCCATTCCGTCTGCAGAAAGCGCATCACACCTATCGGAAAGGGAAAAATGGTTAGCTTCGAGAGAAACCAATACCAAGGCCAGAGTCCCGCAGCACGCACCTTGCAATGTGTACTCCGTCCCATGAGGTTGTCCGCCATTCGAGGACCCATCACCCCCAGGCCCGATGTACCCTCCACCCCCAGCCATGGCCGAGGGAGACTGCCAAGCCATGCGAAATCAACAAGCGACAGAATTTAAGTAAATTAAGGACAAAGTGGCAGAGCTATTTAAGCTTCTGCGTCCCCAGTCGTGACAAGAAATGACGCCGAATGTGGAGAGCTCTCGTGGCCGCAATGCTGCAAGTTTGTTGATGTAAGCAACCCCCAATCTCAACGGGTGACAACGGCAGGAAGCAACGTTCCTGGCCGTGTCAACACCGGTCGGAGAGCAATAATTATTATGACTCCGACAACGGAAGGGTATGGATCACCGAAAGGAGAAAAAGAGGATGGTCGCTGTCTGGTGTCGAGGCTGGACTGGCAGCTGGCGCGCGTTAGGTTCTCCTCGCTGAGGTCGGGGAAAGTCACCGCACCGCCGCTGCTGGGCTTTTGTTGGCTCCTGTAGACGCACAAGTCGGCCGTCTAACCGCC